AGGGAGTGGGAGTGGGGTCTGGGGGTGACCTGTCCCAGGGAGTGGGAGTGGGGTCTGGGGGTGACCTGTCCCAGGGAGTGGGAGTGGGGTCTGGGGGTGACCTGTCCCAGGGAGTGGGAATGTGGTCTGGGGGTGACCTGTCCCAGGGAGTGGGAGTGGGAGTGGGCAACCAGGAATAGAGCCAAGGCCAATGTACGAAGCTCAAAGATCTTCAGACAGCGACGAGGGGGAAACTCAAACAGCCTCTGAGTGGCTCTCTCAAACCAGTTACGTGGGAGGACACTGCTGACAGTCAAAGCAGTCGTTTATTTTTATTCATTCATGGGATGTGGGTGTCACTGGCAGGGCCCAGCATTTATTGCCCATCCCTAGTTGCCCCTTGAGAAGGTGAGGGTGAGCTGCCTTCATGAACCACTGCAGTCCATGTGCTGTAGGTTGACCCACAATGCCCTTGGGGTGGGAATTCCAGGAATTTGATCCAGTGACAGTGAAGGAATGGCGATATATTTCCGAGTCAGGATGGTGAGTAGCTTGGAGGGGAACTTACAGCTGGCGGTGATCCCATATATCTACTGCCTTTGTCCTTCTAGATGGAAGTGGTCATGGGTTTGGAAGGTGCTGTTTGAGGATCTTTGGTGAATTTCTGCAGTGCATCTTGTAGATGGTACACACTGTTGCTACTGAGCGTCGGTGGTGGAGGGAGTGGATGTTTGTGGATGTGGTGCCAATCAAGTGGGCTGCTTTGTCCTGGATGGTGTCGAGATTCTTGAGTGTTGTTAGAGCTGTACCTATCCAGGCAAGTGGGGAGTATTCCATCACACTCCTGACTTGTGCCTTGTAGATAGTGGACAGGCAAAGTGTCACATAATTTCCAAACAGATTCATTCAAAATAGATACATTTTTAAAATCTGAGATCTACCAGAGTGGGAAGATTAGCTTCTGCACTGGAATGGATCCAGAGGGGAAAGGTGGAAACTGATGCTTGTGCTAAAGTACAGAGTTTACAGGTCTTTGTCAGCCTCAAAGTCTATTGCAGCCCAGAACAAAGAAGGTCACTCGACCTGAAACATTAACTCTGCTTTCTCTCCACAGATGTTGCCAGACCTGCTGAGTTTCTCCAGCAGTTTCTGACTTCCAGCATCCACAGTCGTTTGATTTTTTTTTTGTCAAGAGCTTGGAATTCAGCTTGCCAGAGAGAAATAAAAGTGCCAGCTCACCAAATACTGTGCCAGGCCGTGTTCTCTGCCTCTCTAGCTTCACCCTCTGCAGCTTAGGTTAAATGGAGACAGCTAACGGCACATTCTGAAAACCCGCTGACTTTCAGCCCCTCCCAACCTCACAGAACAGCCCCCAGCGCCCTGGGGTGGGGGGGGGGTCTGACGATGTAGCATCAATTTGTGTTGTAATTTAGACAGCTTTGCTTATAAACCTGCCTGCCAGTTTTTCTCTGCACCTCATCAGGTTTCTTCAAGGAGTTACATTTTGTCACTAAATTATAGAGGTGAGTGAGAGTAAATCGGGTGGAACACTGTTTAAAAGGATCATGCACTGACTTAAATGGAAAATGCAGAGATCTGAGCAGCATGTACTCGCTGCTGAAAGGTGTTTCCTAAACAGAGCAGTTTTTGAGTTCAACAATTCTTCACTTGGCCTGCATTTCAATTACTTCCTATGACTAAACATGTTTTCCTTTTATTTTCTAACCCATTACTCTTTCACTGAAATAACTACAGATTCTGCACTTCAAAGCATTCAATGCAAGATGAGACCCTACACTATTCCTTCCATCCCACACAACCCCCCATGCAAATGTATGTGCATCTGTGTCTGTCTCACATATGTCTGTGTCCATGTGCGTGAATGCATGAGTATGTATGAATGGGTCTGTTTATGTGTGTATATCTGTTGGCTTTTGTGTACATTTATTTTTATCTATAGGTGTTTACTTGTGTATGTTCCTGTGTGTACGTGCGTGTGTGTATGTGCATATATGTCTATTTCTGTCTTTATATGCTTGTGTGTGCATGTGCACATATGTCTATTTTCACACTTTTCACTGTATTTTACATTGAATACAGATGACAATAAAGTATATTCTAATGTCTAATGTGTCAGTGTGTGTGTGTTTGTGTGTGTCTTTGTATTTATGTGTGTGCATGTGTAATGTCTGTGAATAATTCGTATTTATGTTCCTGTGTGCATGCATGGGTTTTTATGTGTGTGTGTGTCTGTGTGCGTGTTTGTGGGGAGTGGGGGAGAGTGGTTGGTTTGGTGTGTGTGTGTGTGTGTGTGTGTGTGTGTGTGTGTGTGTGTGTGTG